GCCTGGTCTCACGGACGTGGTGCGCCTTGGGTCATTGAAGCTACTTCTCGTGTGGGCGCTTGGCGCAAACTTCAACACCAAGTTCCGTCTGCGCGGCCCGTGGCGATGGGACGGTACATCCGCTTTGCTCACGTCACGCGAGTTCTGGGCGACCATCACTAGACGGCCGATCATTTTTGGTGAGTTCTGGCGCGCCCTCACGAGGTCTCAAGACTAAGCATGCGCAGGCCACTTCGCAGTCTCTTTCTTGCCCATGATACTCTTTGGGCCCATCAATCTAGTGTGTCCCTTGGTTGGAGCATTTTTCCCCGTCCGAGCGAGGGCAACGACCACAGGATAACGTGGCACAGTGTCGGCACAGCACCTAAGCGCTGTTGTGGCCAGGAGCGGCTGTTTTGACTGTCCCTGCGTAGGTCGAAATATGCGTTGCCACTAGAAGAGTCCGATTATCGAGACTGCTGATGGGGCAACATAGAATCAAGTCAAATGATCTACAATACTTGTTGGCCTGATCCCTATGCATACGCCCTGCTGTCAAGCCTTTGCGAATCCGGGCAACGTAGTCGTCAGCATGGTCTCATCGCCAACGCGACCGCAAAATTTGACGCGAAGTCGTACAAGTTCACCATCGCAATCTGCGTTGTTTTGTCTATCTTTCCATGGTTGTTGCTGGTGCCTGCTTACATCTACGGCGAAGAATGCCCTGCATGGCAGCTGATGACCAGATGTCGTTTTCGACTCTTCACTCTCCCCTTGCGTACTCGAGTCTCTGCATCGTCCGCACGTGTCCCACCAAGCCCCCTTTGCTGACCATTTCATTTTGGCTGAGCGAACTTCGTAGAAACTAGAAATGGCCTCGGATCGCCCCTCTCACTGCGCCTTCCCCAAAGCCTGATCGTGTGTACATGAGTCAACATTGCCGGCCGACCAGTTTATCAGATCGGTATAAGCTTCTTCAAAGACGCTCTTCTGATCAATTATCTGCGTCTACTACCCGGCCCCTTAAGGATTGGCCTATCTGCCCACAGATTGCCAAATTCTGGAATGCGCTCAGCAGGACGCTGCGTGCCTGTTGGACCTTTGTTCACGGCCTACGCCA